GCATCCCGTAGTGTTTCAACCATTGATCTCGCATCCCTAGATGCCGGGACGGAGCACGCCGGGTTCTCACCGGACCAGAGGGGGGGGGGAAGCCTGCCTGATCGATTTTGCTTGGCTTCATGGACCAAGGTTGCTGAGCTGGCGGTGAGCAGTCGGGAAGAGGGAGGAGGGGGTACCTTTGCCCCGTGCGGACTTGCAGTATTTTCCAAGCGTGGGTCTTTTATTCCGTGATTGAGTTTTTCGATTTCTGGATACAATGCACACTTGGCCATGCTTTTGATCCGCGTGCCGTCGTGAGTGCGGGACCTGGTGTTTTTGTCCCGCGATGTCTGTTTCTGTTATCCACCTAAGGGAGGGAGGTGGTGGAAGGAGAGACCTATGAACATGTTTGTACACCGACGAGCAGAGGCCGCCGCATGATGATGAGATGAATATATATATATTGTCGAGGAGAGGCAGTCAGCACCTCGACACACGGTATAGCTTCACTGTCCAAGAGGGTTAAGTGGGGGGGTATGGCGCGCCGACTACATCGCCCATCTGTTGAGCCCCTCTAGTACACAGGCTCGTCGAAAGAAGCCTTTCCGCTTGGAGCCGCGGCTATGACTAGTGGACCTCTATGCACAAGCGCCGGACGCCCAGTTGCGGCGAGCTCTGCGCCCACCGCCGGTGGTGCGGGGAAAGCACCGGAGAGCCGGGGTTTCGGCTGGCCTTGCCGGCTGGCTGGTTGTTTGCCCTGATACTGCTGTAGGGCTGGCGTCCCCCGCAGCCGGAGGAATAGTCAACATTAATCCCCCGCCAAGAACCGTATCTGTCATTTTTTATCAATCCTCCTCTGTTCTCACATTTCTTTTTATTTCGTGAAGCGACGGCTGGGTATTGCTGCAAGACGAGGGCTGTTTCCACTGACCGTCAGCGGCCGCCCCAGTCTGGCTAGAGTTCATCCTAGCCGTCCGGTCGTGCGACCGACCCTCGTCTTTGCAGCAAGTACCCCACCATCGCTGAATGAAAGATAAAAACGAAATGGGAAAAGCCTAGGAAACGGAAGGATGCACCGCTCATCGCAACAAAAATAAAAAGTGGCAGAGGCGGTTGTTGGCGGGGGACAAGTTTTGACTACTCCTCCGGCGGCGGGGGACGTGAGCCCTACGGCGGTACCAGGGCAAACAACCAGCCAGCCATTAAGGCTAGCCGAAACTCCGGCTCTCCGGCGCTTCCGCGGGTGCTTCCCCCCGCTGCCGGTGCACGCGGAGCTCGTCGTAACTGGGCGTCCGATCGCTTGTCCATCGAGGTGCACTAGTTATGGCCGCGGCTCCAAGCGGTTAGCCTTCCTCCGGCGAGCCTGTGTACTCGAGGGGCTCAACGGATGGGCGATGTAGTCAGCGCCCCGTACCCTCCCCCCCCTCGACAGTTCAGCTACAACGTGTGTCGACTGCTGCTGCCGTTTTGACTCTTTCGCAAATGCGTAATCATAAACGAACATCATTTTGCGGCCGTCTGCTCGTCGGTGCCCAGGGGTATCTCCTCTCCTCTCACCTGGGTGGACTGTAAAATATTTTTATGCTCGTGTCCCGTGCTCTAGTGCAACTCCGAAACAAATGACGTGTCTGCTTGTGCTGCTCAGGGTGTTTCTCCGAAGACTTACACTAAAGATATAACCGCATCGTGTTGGAATTTAAACGTTGTGTCTGAATGTCATTGCTGCCTCTGATCCGGAACGTACGAAGAGACACGACGGGTATGAATCATTGCCTCCATTGATCGATACATCGAAGAAAGCAAAGAGAGGAAGGGCGTGTCTAAGTGCTTGCTGCCTCTGCTGATAGACACCTCTGGTATGCATACACGAAACAGAGTGTCTGAATCCTTGCCACCTCCGGTGCAACACCCGACTCGCCGAACTGAATCAATCAAGGCCGCCAAGGCCGCCGTGGTGGAGAAGGACGCCGCCATCGCCAAGAGCCTGCAGCTGGCGAGGAAGGAGAAAGATGCCTTCGACATGGACCTTAAGGCCGCGAATGCCGAGGCTGGCCGTTTCAGGGACATGGTTGAGACCAGGGCGGACATGGACGACGAGTACAGGGTGAGGCCTATTTCCTTTGGTGGTGGTGTAGGTAGGAGTGTTATTAGTTGTTGTTGTTGTCTTTACTGTATTTTTTTTCGGTCTCTACTCAGCATCCTTGCAAGGCTTTTTGGCGGCTTACGCCGCCACGCTGAGAGAATCGTTCCGCGAGACGCGTGTCGTCGGTGTTCGTTGTTTATGGTCGTCTCTTGCCGGTGTATTTTTCATTTCGCGATACTCACGTAATGTGCAGTCTGTTGCGAAACCGAAGGTGTGCGAAGGGATGCGTGTCTTTGGTTGTCCAACTGACTCGGGTGCTGCTAGGACATGAATTTCTCGATAGCAGCAGTAGTGTGGGTAAATGACTTGTGGGAGGACTTCCCGGATGTGGGACAGCGGGACGACTTGGTCTTTCGTGTGGGAAGCGTAGGGCTTCTTTTTTTTTTCGGAAGCTGGTTTTCAAGTACAAGCTTGGAATTTGTCAGGTACAATCCACCAGAAACTGTTTCTTGTTGTACCAACAATGACGACGACAACAACAAAAGCCACTCCAACGGCATGACCACCATTAACTGCAACACGAAAAAACAGCGCTTAAGAAAAAGTGTCTGCACCGCTCGCGCTTAACAGGGCATAGCAGAAGCAGCAACACGATAAACAGCACCAAAAACAGCAACGATCAATCCTGACCGGGCTGCACCCCCCTTAACTGGCCTTAGCCGACGGCAAGACCGAAAAGAACAACGCTACAAACAGCAACAGCAGTTGCTGCCAGTCTGCACTGGTCTTACCTCCCCCCCCCTGTCCTTAGCCGACAAGATCAACACGAAAATCAACGCCGATAACAGCAACCGCAATCTCTACCGATCTGCACCCCCCCCTCTTGCCCCCACACGTAAAAACACAAAGGTAGCAACAGCAACAGCAACAGCAACAGCAACAGCAACAATTAAATTTCTACCGATCTTGCCCCCACTCGGCAGGCGTTAGCCGAGGCATCCGACACCCTCGACGAGCGAGTCCAAGACTACGAGGCAAGGCTCAGGGTCCTCGCGGAGGAGAATGACGGCATCAGGGCTGACTACTCGGCCGAGATCAAGAGCATGGAGGCGGAGCGGTCGTCCATGCGGGAGCGCATCGCTAACCTGGAGAGCGCTCTGACGTCGTCGGAGACGGCTATCGACCAGCAGCGAGCGGACCTCCAGGCTGAGCTACGGAAGGTCAGTTGTTGGTTGTTGTTGTTGTTGTTGTTGTTGTTGTTGTTGTTGTTGTTGTTGTTGTTGTTGTTGTTGTTTTGGTTGTTGTTGTTGTTGTTGTTGTTGTTGTTGTTGTTGTTGTTGTTGTTGCTGCTGTGGTTGCTGTGGTTGTCGTTGTCGTAGTTCGATGTTGTTGTTGTTGTTGTTGTTGTTGTTGTTGTTGTTGTTGTCGTTGTCGTTGTTGTTGTTGTTGTTGTTGTTGTTGTTGTTGTCGTAGTTGTAGTTCGATGTTGTTGTTGGTGTTGTTGATGATGATGTTTTTTGGTACTGCTGTGGTTGTTGCTGTTGAGGTGTCGTTTGACTCTAGACTTCAACCCCAAAAATGTCCACGATGGACGCATAATCACAGCGGCGGAGTTTGTTGAGGCGTTTTTTTTTTCTTACCTCCCTTGGGATGTACAACATGTCTTAAAAACAAAAACACAGATGGGGAATGCTCTGGACGAGAACTCGGCGATGGCGTGCTTCGCTGAGAGAACTTCATGCAGCCGGGTTGCTTGACCGACATTACAATACGTCGTAATAATAGACGGGGCATGCTCTGGACGACAAATCACCGTCGGCGGAGTCAGCCAAGAGTTTTATATTTTTTTCTTACTAATGTGAAGACAACAACATCAACAACAACTGAACCCCTTCGCGACGTACAACACCTCGTTGAAAAAAGATGGGGAATGCTCTGGACGAGAAATCGGCCGCGGCGGAGGCGGCCGCCGGCCTAGCGGCGG